GGGAAGTTGGGACGAGCACATCCGAACCCAAATGATACAACTCCCACTAATTCGACTCTTCCTGTTGTTGGATCATGATACATCAGAGGACCACCAGAGTCGCCCTGGTTACGAGAAATAAAAACTTTATGTCACTGTCAATCTGGTGTTGAAAATATGAACTTCAATTATAACTTGGTCAAAATATAATAATAAAAAAAAACAAAGTAAAAATCAACAACATAGTTTGAGAAAAAATAATTATTCTGTAATACATTATACCAGTTTGTCAATGTATTATAGAGCAAAATCATGTAGTCATAAAAAAATTACAAATATTTTCAGCTAGATATAGTCATATCGAAGGTCAAAGATTGGTCAAAACATTCTCCAATTAACCTTACATATTGGTTATTTCTTCATATCTGTAATACTATTTTAAGTGAAGTTGATAAGCTGTTAGTTTTGTTTCACTAAAATACACATTAAGACCGATATCTAATCGAGTTTATTTCAACTTTTACACACCTTGTCTGATAAAATAAAAACTTCCTTACGTTATTTTTATTACCAATATTACAAAACCACACACTATGTTAGAGCACAACCAGACTTTCCTGAAACACATGAGAACAGTAATTTCCGTCAACTTTTCCTAGAAAAGTCGACCAAAATGTTTGAGAACAAACCTCACAAGAATCTCTTCCTCCTTCCTGGTATCCAGCACAAATCATATCATCAGTGATTCCTCGGTTGAGGCCGGAGAATGATATGGTTTGATAAGACTTGTTGCACAGTTCGTTTGTAACTACGGGCAACTCCAGTTCACGTAGAACATTATATTTCTCACTACCTAATAAACAGAAAAATAAAATTAATCATAACATATTTTTTTAACTTACAATAAATATACTTCATAAATATCTCTCAAACATTCCAAATTACCTTTAGACATAATTTTGAATAAATTCTTGTTTTCTCTATTAACCCGTGAATCAACAGATTATACCTTTCAAAGAATAAGTAATTAAAAAATTGCAAACATTTAAAAAAGATGTAACTTTTCATTTATTAACAAAGAATTTTACAGCTTGACAAATAGAAGTTTCAATGGAAGAAAACACTGTACATCAGATAATGGGGGAGACCTCGCATGACTTGGTGGCAAGGGCGCTGTGAGGGTAGCGGGTTCGAAGTTCCATCACCGAACATGCTCGCCCTTTCAACAGTGGGGGTGTTATAATATGAATGCTGCTCAGGAGTTGGCTGTGTTGATTAAGTGCCACCCCTCTAGGATAACGGCTCATTTTTCCTTGGAGGACATTATGGCGCTATCATCAGGTCAAGGTTGAAATGTTCTTGTTTTATTGTCGTATAGGTTTCGTGATACAAAAGATCAACAAAGTTTTCGATAGCTGTATTTCATTCGTAGGTTTTAAAATATTTAAATAGTATTCAATTGATATTAACATTAAAAATGATATATTTTAATACACACAAATGATGATATTTATCAATATAAAATTGAAGAAGGATACATTTCGTTATTGTTTTTTTTTTTATTGGGTCTCTTCTTTTATGTAAGTGAATATAAGATACATCAACATCATAACACTGGCACTTACCTCTTTCAGTAACACCCCAACCAATAACAACGACCTCCTTATTGTTTAAGTTCACGTTCAACTTGTTCAACTCAGGAATACAGACAGGCCGTACTTTGTAGTTATATTCGATTCGTTTCGAGAGTAAAATCAAACCAATATCGTAGTATTGTGAACGGTATTTGTAGTCCTGGTGAACAATAATCTTATCTACATGATAGTCGATGCCCGAATTGTCTATGTCATGAGCTCCAACTCTTACGACAATGGAAGAATTCTGTCTGAAAAAACAACAAAAGGAAGATTTTCCAAATTATTAAATTCTCGTAGTACACAACTCTTATGTAACATTGTAACTACTACCGACGAAAGAAATATTAATCCTAAAGTACAATATACAGACGATGCATGGGAAAAGTTTACAGATACACTGGTTACTTTCAAGTAAAAAGTACCACAATAACAGGAGATACGAAATGATATGAGTTAGGGTGTTAAATTGAATTTCTATATTGACTGAATTGAAGAAAAAGAGAGACAGGATACTGTACCAAACAAATTATGGAATTGATAGTTTTCGAAACAATTAATACAGGCAAGACGAATGCACAGTACAATGGACAACAAATTACTCCGAATGGAGAGAGGTCGAAGTCAAATACATTCTGGAGTAAAAGTCTGGCAAAACTGAGACATAAACTCTCCCAAACTGCATTTGTTACCGACAATACATGGTCACTTCAATAAATACAACAGCTAAGCATAGCTACCAAGTAATTCTAAATCTTTAAACAACAGATAATATTAGAGAAAATAAGATATTAAAGTAAACAGTTTTCAGCGAAACTTTCCTTGGGAGTGTTCAATGGCACCAATGGAAATAGACCATATACAATGATGATAAACTCATAATCCGTCCTAAATCATCTTCCTCCTACAGAAGATGGATTATGGAAAGCTGTAGGGAAAAGTGGTGTGATCTGGACATGACAGTGATAACCCGGAGACTTTTTCAGTGGAAACTAAGTTGTAGCACTATTATGAAGATGCTCAGTCGTCAGATAGAGCATGGCCACCTGGACTGTAACGACGACGTGATGACGCTCCCAACTAGTTTTAATATAACGTACTCATCCTCCCTTATATATATAACAATATGTTGAATGTTATAGTAATCATTACGAAAACTAAATGATAAATGATCTTTTTTGGTGAATAGAGAAATAAGTAGCGAAATTTTCTTTTAAGAAAAATACTATTTAGATTAAAATGTAAAATCCTCTAAACGAAAAGTTGTAATAAATGCTGAAGTAACGTTTAGGATGTAGTAGTAGACGTAATTAATCAAATCTGTTTGGTTATTTTATCCAGTTTCAGTTTCTTTCGGATTAAATATAAAGTTTACATGCAACAGTAGAGAGAAAAACAGTATCTTTTAGGTGTAATTGTGAATATTTTAATCTTACTATAATGGATCTACCTGTCTTGCTATGTATGAGACCGAATTAATGGTTACAATGTGGCTCTATCTATTGAATGGAATAACAAACAAAAAATTCATAAAAATTTCACACTTTGGGTATTCAAGATTGAGACACTTAGAAAAATAACTGTGGTTCGTGAAACCACCATTTCTTTATAGTAGAACACAATTTTAAATAATGGTACTCTCCTCACAATAAGAACACGACTTCCACTAGGGCTGTACATGAGGGTTTGATTATATCTTTATTGATGCAAGTTGTTAACATACAACTAAAAAAATGGAGTTCTTAAAAAAAAAGTGTTATTTTTTCAATAAAGGGTGCTATGTTTAATAAATAAAAACATTACAGTTTATATCAGCAGAATCCGAACAGTTTTCCCGTGCAGAACTTTCCAGAAAAATCCTTTTTTTGTTTTAGAAAATGTTCACATCTTTTCTAAATATTTTTCAGTCCATTCTGTAACCTGTCTGCCAAAAATTTGGAAAGATATACAAACAAAATTAACAGTTAATAGTATCAAAATTAACAACTATAAGCGAGTACAAAATGGTCACGTGGTCGGTCATTTTGACCTTGGAACACCTGTGACGTCATAAGCAAACAGTATGTTTGTTTGAACTCATTAGTATATATTGTATCATTTAAGGTATCGTAGAACGAGTCTGTTTGATAGTTAAATACCGATATTCATTCCCTATTTTGTTCTTTCCAAACGTATTATTACAAGTACTTTATCCAAAAAATTTGGAATGCTTGAAAGTCGAGTCATTCCGTATATTGGTCATTTGGTCGGGCATGTACTGATAGATGATTTTAATGAACCTTGACATAAATTCATAAAGGTTGTTATTTAAGGTTATTTCAATAATTTCAAGTCGGAAGTGTGCGTCAGTAACCAGAAAAAGTCCGGATATAAGGAATTTCTCCAAAGTAATGGGGCGTTCACCAAAATTGCCGGTTTCTAGTAAATTCCAGTTTTGGCGATTCTTCTGATTTGGGATCGTCTAGCTGTATTATTATTCATACGCTGTTACCCAGCAGTATGTACCATACGCGATATTACTATAATAACTACTTTACGTACATTTCCATATATATTGTTGAAGGGTTAGGCCCGAATCGTGAACTTGGACATTAAATATTTTAACTTTATTAATAACGCTTACGTTGGTCTTTTTTTCCTTCTTAACTTACTCGCATATGACGTACTGTGAACTATTTCACACATGCAAGATATATTTTAGAGGTTACTTTACAATTTTATGGGTAAATCCATCCTTGTTTATACTGGTAATTGTTTTGATATATAAGAACAGTATTTCGATTTATTTGTAGTAAATTAAACTTTGGGATGAAGATGTTTGGCACTTACCTGTTTCCAGACTGTGTCACAAGACAATGGGCGGCAGTGACAACGGAGACTTTATTAATAATAGTTCCACCACAAATGAAAAGGAGAGGATCTACTTGAAAAATTCCGACCTAATGTGGAAAAAATGTGAGGATCACGCTGAAGGTTCTAACAAAAGAAACTGTGTGGATCCACACGGAATAATTTGACATAAAAATAAAACTGTGAGGATCCACAATGAACATTCCAACCAATAAGCTCGAGTACAGTCGTAATGAAATATTAGTTTAATAAAAATAACACAAATTGTTTTAACAAAGACAGGATGTTACTGATATTAGAAATACCTTGTCAGGTTAATTTGTGAACCTGTCTTAACTTTGGTTCTGTTTTCTTTATAATGAATTATTCTTAGAGTTAGATCCATATCTAAACCATTGTTTAAGATTGTTAATCTGTATCACTTGTTAGAAACATTTTACAACCATTGCTTGGTTTACTGTTTATTTTATTGGTCAAAAATATATTCAGACCACTTCCTAAACCAGGTTTGACTTAGTCTTCTGTTTCTTTGTGGAAAATCACTTTTTTCAGATCCATCTCTCAACCTAGTCCCGAGTTTTGGTTCTCAGTTCTAATTTTTATGTTACCTTTCATTGGTTGAAATAACAGCAACAAAGTAACAAATTGAAAGGTAACGTCTGAATGTTTCCATAATGTTTTATTACTTCCCTATGTTAGGTTTAAAAATCATTAAGTATTTCTATATAACTTAATTCAAAACGAATAGTAGAGAGTCAAGCTTTGAATACATCATTCAAATTAACTCAGTGTTTAGTCCCCAGGTGGGGCAGCGGTAATTTTACAGAACTACATCTCTAAAATCCGGGCTTCTATTCCCGCGATGGATACAACTTATAGCCCAATGTGGCTTTGCTCTAAAACAAAACATATAAATAAATTCTTACCATCCACGGCCAAGAATGAGGTATTGATATTCGTCCCTTAATAATCCTTGGAGCTGTTGGTCTGATCCCGCAATCTTTAAAAAAACAACAACAACGTAGAACTGAAATAAAATGTTGATAAAAAAAGTTATAAAAGTTAATAGAAATTAGAGTTATTAATTCAAGTTGGTTGGTTTCGAACGTTGATAGAAAGCTACTCGAAGGATATCTGTGCTAGTCATCCCTAATTTCGAAATGATAGCCAACATGAAAAGCAGTTAGTAACAGCACCCACCGCCTACTTTACGAAAATACGAAATAGACTTACGTTCTTCATTGATTTCACGTCGAACCCTTGATGTTACAGACATTTCTGAAGCTATGGAAAAGGAAAAAAGAAACCAGTGAAATCAGCGTCGTCATTAAAATATTTGAACATCACAAAATGTATAGTACAAGTATATTGCCATGACTAGAAACAAGTATGTATAGAGCGAGTATATTGCCATGACTAGAAACAAGTATAGTGCAAGTATATTGCCATGACTAGAAACAAGTATAGTGCAAGTATATTGCCATGACTAGAAACAAGAATGTATAGTGCAAGTATATTGCCATGACTAGAAACAAGAATGTACAGTAGAAGTATAATGCCATGACTAAAAAAAAGTATGTATAGTATAAGTATATTGCCATGACTAGAAACAAATATGTATAGTGCAAGTATATTGCCATGACTAGTAACAACTATGTACAGTACAAGTATATTGCCATGACTAGAAAGAAGTATGTACAGTACAAGTATATTGCCATGACTAGAAACAAATATGTACAGTACAAGTATATTGCCATGACTAGAAACAAATATGTACAGTACAAGTATATTGCCATGACTAGAAACAAATATGTACAGTACAAGTATATTGCCATGACTAGAAACAAATATGTACAGTACAAGTATATTGCCATGACTAGAAACAA